GAGCCTTCTGGGTCAAGGAGAGCTTATACATGTGAACTTATGGCAATAGTGGTGTCAAGCACAGGACCCATGTCAACTCAGCTGAGTGGGGGCCCAGAGGGGAGGAAAGAAATTGGTGGCTGGCCAGCACTAGACTGAGAACTATTGGAGACTGATTATTGCTGGGTGAGGGAGAGTATGAATTAGATACCATCACTAGATAGGCTGACTGGACTCCAGTGGACCATTTGCACTAAAGGACACTTGGGTACAAATGCCTGAATGAATAGTACTTAGCATATACAGTGGAATACATGAAGTTCAGTGGGGGGATGTGGAAGACATGGGTGGGGGAGGGGATCTGAAATTGATTAAGAACTGTTGTATGAAGTTGCAAAGGCTCAATTTTAAAAAATGAAAAAATAAGAAACACAAATGGCTAGTAAACACTTTTTAATTAAAGAGTATTCAATATCCTTACCCATCAGAGAAATGAAAATTAAAACGAAGTGTCTATCTCACCCATCGTAAGTAATACAAGGGACAATAATCCTGGCATGGATGTGGAGAAAAGCGAGGACACTTACACACTGTTGGTGGGACTGTAAACTAATGCAATATTTTGGAAATCAGTCTGGAATATTCTTAAAATAGCAGAAATATAACTTCCATAACACCCAGCTGTGCCACTCCAGGGCATATAACCAAAAGGAATTTATAGCCTACTGCAGAGATACATGCACATCTATATTCACTGCTGTTCTATTCATAATAGCCAGGAAATAGAATCAGCCTAGATATCCATCAATTAATGAATGGATAATGAAAATGCTGGCAATTTACACAATGGAACTTTATACAGTTGTAAAGAAAAACCAAGTTATGAAATTTACAGGTAAATGGATGAAACTGAAAAAAAAGTATTATATTAAGTGAGGCAGTCCAGGCCCAGAACAAATGCACATGTTCTCTCTCATATGCAAATCTGTGCTTCAACTCTAGTTTGTATGTTTAACTTGGAGTACCTGTGGAATTCAGGAAACTAAAAATGGGACACTAGGAGAGGGATCCCTTAAAGAAAGGGTGAATAGAACAGAGCAAAAGTAAAAGGAGAGCGGAGGAATATAGGTGAAAGAGAGGCTATGAGGGTTGAAAGAAATGAGAGAAGGGAAGATTAGCCAAAATGAAGGTTGTCTGAAAAAGCCAAATAGAAACCTACAATCTTATAATCCAATTAAAAATATAGAAGAGAGTTATGAAGGAAGATAGCTTGAATGGCTAGATAATGCTGCTCCTAGACTCAATGGTTCACTAAGCAAAAATCCCAGTGCCATGTTTGGGATATCTTAGTATGCAGTATTGGTCAGGGAGGCCCCAGAGGATCCCAAACTAATACAGGCTCTTGTCATTCCTCTTGGTTGCCCACCAGATCTAGATAGTAAGGACCCTACTACTGATGACCCCACATACCTTAGTTAAGACATACCAATATCAAGCTGGAAATGACCTGGTAACCATTTCCCTGCTGGCTATCTTTCAAAGTACCAGAAGATGCCATGCAAGCTGTTGCAAGAAATAAGGTTTCAACAGCCTTGCCCAGTTATGAACTCTACAAACTACAATACAAACTTATCGGGCAAATGTGCCCATCCATGCAACAGTGGCATGATTATCACAAGGTGGAGCCAATTGCTCTAATTGGACTTGTGGCCTATTCCACAGGAGGGAGCCCTTGCCTGGTACTGCAAACCTAATCAGCAATCCATGCCTGGAGTGATCATAGGCCTAGGCAGGAACTTACTTCTCCTAGTTAGTTAAACTTACATAATGTTAAACTGCCTTCTAAATATCTATGTTTGTATAGATACTACCCTCAGCTCTAACAGAGAAGCCTCACTTTGCAGTGAACAGCAGTGAATGCAGAGTCTCATACCTAGTCAAGATGTTGAGACTAAGTGATAGTTGAATGATCATCTCTAAACAAGATGTTTATACCACTCTTCCTAAGGCTCAGGAACACTGCAGAAGAGGAGGACAGAAAGAGTGCAGGAGCCAGAAGACAGGGTGAAGGGCTGAGAAATGTCATTCTGTAGATGCGACACAGCCATTGCCATCTTGAACTTATAGCACCTACGGTTGCCTGCAATGGGACCTGCACAAAACTGCATCTGTCAACAGTCAGTTGTGAATGAGGGAGGGGCTCAGGGGTCCTATCCCTCCCTGATGAACTGATGGATTGGCTACTGATGGATTCTTGGAGAATGACAGTTATTGTTTTCAGTTGTATGTCTACATTTGGGCCCACCAGACTCCAAAGGAGAGTACCAAATCCATGATCACACAGATAGCTCTTGTTAAACTCAACAGGTCACAAAGCAAGACAAAAAGACATGAAAGTCAAAAACAGATCTGTAGGGATGAGGGGGCTGACAAGGGTCAGAAAGGGTAGGTAGTGTAAGAGTAACCAAAATTATATAAATTGTATAAAATTGTCAAAGAAAGAATTTACTTTAAATAATTACTAACAAGCCCAAGAAAATCTAGAAACCTGCCTGAGCCCAAAGGCAAAGGTGGCTTGTGAAGGGTACAGAGCACCTTCATGCAGATTCCTACTGACCAAACTGGTGACAATTTTAGTTTCAAAAGGAGAATGTCCATGGCTAATTATAAGTCATTATTAAGTAAAAATCCAAGAGTTCAAAGTGACATTAAGCATGAAAAAGAGAGTAAAGAGAAAGAGAACTCAAATAATTTCTACATAAGGTGATACCATTTTCTTAATTGATTATATTTTTTTTACTTCTTTCACTTTTAAACAGATTGTCAGATTAAGTGCATGCCCTGCTCCTATAGTTCACCAAGAGATAAGAAAACATGCTTTATAAAAAAGCTCAGCTAATAAATTTTAAAATAATGCCATAATTTTTAAAAAATCAATGTTTTTCTAAATTCAACAAAGCATTTGATTTGGGCAAGGATCATTAGTGGATGTAAAGGTGAAAGACATCTAAGGGCAAGTATGATTTGGAAAAGAATGCCTCCCAACAGGGAAATATGATGGTCCTCTTAACCAAATGAAGAAATCCAGCATTACTGACAGGGCAGCCTGACATCACATGCCTCTAAATATGATGTAAAATGAAGTTTATCTCATTTCTACCTTAAACATATTAGCCTTGAATCCAAACAAGCCTACACCAGATTTCAAGTTTAAGACTATGTTGGCAAGCCATGGTCAAGCAGGACCTTTAACTTACCATCACACAGAACTGGTGACACAAAGGAGCCAGGGGCTCCTCCCAAGCTCATATGACCCCTGAGGAACAAATCCTCAAACGACATTAAGAGTAAAAATACATTGGTTTATTTGGGCCAAATGTGTGGTCTTAAATACCCAAAAAGAAAGTATAACCAAAGATTAAAGTGATCAGTATATTTCTTTAAGAGTTCAAGGGATTACACTTCCCAGACATTAGGCTTAAGTCCATATAAAAAG